CTTGAACAGGTTCGTGCCGTAATCATCGGCGCGCTTTCGGACATTTCGGAAGCCACGCTGGAGCTGCGCAGGCCTAAATCGTCTCGATCGGAAACGAATGACTTGAGAACTGCTCCTTGTGCTTGCTTTGGTGTCCTTTCCCCAGCACCCTCCGATTCGCACGATCGGCTACGTACGGTGCGAAAGAAGTTCGACATACGTACATTGACTGGGGCTTACACGACGACCATCGTCAACGTCACCATGATCCCCGTCGTGCCGGAAGATGCTCTCGTAGCATAAGTGGAGAATCAGAGACTACGCGCTCTCTCCCCCTCTCTCTCTTATGCGTGCAACTGAGGCCACGAACAACTCCAAACCGTGGAGCGAGTAACTCTGCACTGCTCCAAATATACACGTGAGGGTGAGTGGGTGGGTGGCACTCTGGCTACGATTCACCAAACCTCAACAACTGGATGGCTTCATCACTTCGAGCCGAATTGGCAGTAGTTGCTCTTCTTTGGTCAAAATAAAAACATGACCACTCGGAGGGAGGGTGAGAGGGAGGGAGTCTCAGTGTAGCGCGGAGAGAGACGGGGAACAGGAGACACGGAGACAGAAAGACTCGGGACAAGTGAGAGAGAGACAGGAGGAGGAGCAGCCTTGTCTCTCTCCACGTGGTGCCAGCTGCTGCTGCTTGCGAGCCACTGCGTGTGTGTAGCTGTGTGTGTAGCTGTGTGTGCGTGTGTAGCTGTGTGTGCGTGTGTAGCTGTGTGTGCGTGTGTAGCTGTGTGTGTGTGTGTAGCTGTGTGTGTAGCTGTGTGTGTAGCTGTGTGTGTGTGTAGCTGTGTGTGTGTGCGTGTGTAGCTGTGTGTATGTGCGTTTGTGCGTGTGTGTAGGTGTGTGTATGTGCGTGTGTGTAGATGTGTGTGTGTAGTAGTGGGGAGCGGTGGTGTAGCGGTTAGCGCTACGAACCCGGCGACCCGAGTTCGATCCCCATTCACGGCCAACACCGGTGACGACTATCTGAACCGATCCCGGGCCTCCCCAAGGTCGGCTCAGCCTCAAATGGGTACCTGGTGCGATGTGTAAACATCGTCACTGGGGAGACAAAGGCGGTCGGGCGTGGTGCTGGCCACCCACCCCCTCGTGTGCCGTGCCGGCCTTCATAGGTGCTGCTACTCGCGAACAGCCCTTGCCCCTACAGTCTGTTACAGGCTACACGGGGGGATCTTTGTCTTAGCGCGTGTGCGCGCGTGTGTGTGTGTGCGTTGTGCGCGTGTGTGTGCGCGTGTGCGCGTGTGTGCAAAGTGAGACAATTCTGCAGGATAACCTCCCTCCCTCCTCGGCTCCCCAGGGCGTGTGTTCACACAACTTAAAACAATATTTTGTATGGCCCTGGCACATCCTGGCCCAATGGTGCTCGCTAACAACACCCCCCGCCCCCTGCCCAAGATTCTGTTAAAGACTACACGGCTACACGGAGCGAGGGGGGTGGGGGGTCTTTGTACACGCGAACACAGAGAAGGCCACACGCTGCTATATTTAAAAAGGGCGCGGGTGAAGTTGGCCCCAGATGAGAAGACTGAGCTGGCAACAGCGCTCGGTGGCATCTGGCGAGCGCTCACCACCACGCTCACCACCACGCTCAGCACCACGCTCACCACCACGCTCAGCACCACGCTCACCACCACGCTCACCACCACGCTCACCACCACCACCCACGGCTTCCCGATTGCTTCGAGAGCGTGACCTCCAATCGCGACACAAACACACACACAGACACGCACACAGAGACAACACAGATCCCCCGTATAGCCTTCATAGACGTTTTGGGGCAAGTGCTGTTTCGCGAGCACCAATGAAGGCCGGCACTGTGGCACACGAGGGGGGGTGGGGGGATGGGTGGCCAGCACCACGCCCAGGCCGCCTTTGTCTCCCCAGTGGCGATGATTGCACACACAGCACCGGGTTCAGATACAGTAATCGTCACCAGTGTTGATGGCCGTGAGCGGGAATCGACCTCGAGTCGCCGGGTTCGTAGCGCTGCGCGCTAACCACTGCACCACCACTCCCCCCCCTCTCACATACACACGCAGAGACACATGTGCACGCACGAAGACAAAGACGCTCCGTATAGTCTACAGAGACTTTTGGGGCAAGTGCTGTTGTTAGCGAGCAGCTATGAAGACTGGCACGGCACACGAGGGGGTTTGGGTGGCCAGCACCACGCCCGGCCGCCTTTGTCTCCATAGTGGCGATGTTTTTCACGTCGTACCAGGTACTCAGTTTGAGGCTGAGTCGACCTAGGGGGGTGGCCCAGGACCGGTTCAGATAATCGTCACTGGTGTTGGCCTTGAGCTGGAATCGAAACCCGGGTCGCATGATTCGTAGCGCAGCGCGCAAACCGCTACACTGCCGCATATAGACACACGGACACACACTCACTCGTGCCCCCCATAGCCCTCCGTGAGTGCACCCCCGTGTAGACAGAGCCCCCCCCCCCCCACCGTGACCACACACGCGTGATGTACACCACCAGGTACCCCCCCCCCCCCGCGTCCCCCGTGACTGCTGCACCCCCCTCTCGTGACTGGACAACCCCCCAAACATCCATCCGTGACTGCACAACCAGCAGAGACGATCCCGTGACTGCACGCCGACTGCTCCCAACAAACATCCCGGGACCACCTCATGACTACATCACAGACAACCCACTAGTGACTACTCCACCCGCTCACTCAGACATCACAGACAACCACTAGTGACTACTCCACCCGCTCACTCAGACATCACAGACAACCCACTAGTGACTACTCCACCCACTCACTCAGACATCACAGACATCCACTAGTGACTACTCCACCCGCTCACTCAGACATCACAGACAACCACTAGTGATTACTCCACCCGCTCACTCAGACATCACAGACAACCCACTAGTGACTACTCCACCCACTCACTCAGACATCACAGACAACCCACTAGTGGCTACTCCACCCGCTCACTCAGACATCACAGACATCCACTAGTGACTACTCCACCCGCTTACTCAGACATCACAGACAACCACTAGTGACTACGCCACCCGCTCACTCAGACATCACAGACATCCACTAGTGACTACTCCACCCGCTCACTCAGACATCACAGACAACCACTAGTGACTACTCCACCCGCTCACTCAGACATCACAGACAACCCACTAGTGACTACTCCACCCACTCACTCAGACATCACAGACAACCCACTAGTGGCTACTCCACCCGCTCACTCAGACATCACAGACATCCACTAGTGACTACTCCACCCGCTCACTCAGACATCACAGACAACCCACTAGTGACTACTCCACCCGCTCACTCAGACATCACAGACAACCCAGTAGTGACTACTCCACCCACTCAGACATCACAGACATCCACTAGTGACTACTCCACCCGCTCACTCAGACATCACAGACAACCCACTAGTGACTACTCCACCCGCTCACTCAGACATCACAGACAACCCACTAGTGACTACTCCACCCACTCACTCAGACATCACAGACAACCCACTAGTGACTACTCCACCCGCTCACTCAGACATCACAGACACCACTAGTGACTACTCCACCCGCTCACTCAGACATCACAGACAACCACTAGTGACTACTCCACCCGCTCACTCAGACATCACAGACAACCCACTAGTGACTACTCCACCCACTCAGACATCACAGACATCCACTATTGACTACTCCACCCACTCACTCAGACATCACAGACATCCACTAGTGACTACTCCACCCACTCACTCAGACATCACAGACAACCCACTAGTGACGACTTCACCCACTCAGACATCACAGACACCACTAGTGACTACTCCACCCACTCACTCAGACATCACAGACACCACTAGTGACTACTCCACCCACTCACTCAGACATCACAGACAACCCACTAGTGACTACTCCACCCACTCAGACATCACAGACACCACTAGTGACTACTCCACCCACTCACTCAGACATCACAGACACCCACTAGTGACTACCCCACCCACTCACTCAGACATCACAGACAACCCACTAGTGACTACTCCACCCGCTCACTCAGACATCACAGACACCCACTAGTGACTACCCCACCCACTCACTCAGACATCACAGACAACCCACTAGTGACTACTCCACCCGCTCACTCAGACATCACAGACACCCACTAGTGACTACTCCACCCACTCACTCAGACATCACAGACACCCACTAGTGCCTACTCCACCCACTCAGACATCACAGACAACCCACTAGTGACTACTCCACCCGCTCACTCAGACATCACAGACACCCACTAGTGACTACCCCACCCACTCACTCAGACATCACAGACAACCCAGTTGTGACTACTCCACCCACTCACTCAGACATCACAGACATCCACTATTGACTACTCCACCTACTCACTCAAACATCACAGACATCCACTAGTGACTACTCCACCCACTCAGACATCACAGACAACCAACTAGTGACTACTCCACCCGCTCACTCAGACATCACAGATACCACTAGTGACTACTCCACCCGCTCACTCAGACATCATAGACAACCCACTAGTGACTACTCCACCCACTCTCTCAGACATCACAGACATCCACTAGTGACTACTCCACCCACTCAGACATCACAGACAACCCACTAGTGACTACTCCACCCGCTCACTCAGACATCACAGACAACCCACTAGTGACTACTCCACCCACTCACTCAGACATCACAGACATCCACTAGTGACTACTCCACCCGCTCACTGAGACATCACAGACAACCCACTAGTGACTACTCCACCCACTCACTCAGACATCACAGACATCCACTAGTGACTACTCCACCCACTCACTCAGACATCACAGACATCCACTAGTGACTACTCCACCCGCTCACTCAGACATCACAGACAACCCACTAGTGACTACTCCGCTCACTCAGACATCACAGACAACCCCGTGACCGCCCAGACGCCCCCTGTACTCACGGCGGCAGCGGCGAGGAGTCCGACGGCCAAGCCGAGGAGCAAGGACCCGCGCCGCATCCCGGCGTGTGGCAGGAGAACCGCACAGGTGAGGGCGAGGAGTGAGGAGGTGAGCGCGGTGGGTGAGGAGGTGAGGGCGGTGGGTGGCGGAGAGACGTTGCAGCCTCTGTCGAGGAGATGCGCTCCGAGTTGACAAATCCAACGTTTTGCTCCACGATCCTTGACGTTTCCCCTGCGTCTCAGAACCTCCTCCTCCTCCTGTCTCTCCCCCACCTCCTCCTCCTGTCTCTCCCCCCTCCTCCTCCTCCTGTGTCTCTCTCCTCCTCCTGTCTCTCCCCCCTCCTCCTCCTGTCTCTCCCCCCTCCTCCTCCTGTCTCTCCCCCACCTCCTCCTCCTGTCTCTCTCTCCTCCTCCTCCTCCTGTGTCTCTCTCTCACTCTGCCCGAGTCTCTCTCTCTCTGTCTCCGCCGTCTCTCTCCGCGCTGCACTGAGACTCTCTTCCCTCCGTGCCTCTCTCCCTCCACCAGCTCGCCCTCGCAGGGGCGGGGAGACGGAGATGAGAGGGAGGGGGAGAGGGAGGGGAGAGGGAGATGAGAGGGGGAGAGGGAGGGGAGATGAGAGGGAGGGGGAGAGGGAGGGGAGATGAGAGGGAGGGAGAGAGGGAGGGGAGAGGGAGGGGAGATGAGAAGGAGGGGGAGAGGGAGGAGAGAGGGAGTAGAGAGGGAGCGGAGATGAGAGGGAGGGGGAGTACGGAGCAGCGGAGCTGTGCCGGGTGAGGGGAGAGTTTGGCGAGAGGGAGGGGAGAGGGAACCCCCGGGGCTGTGACGGGAGAGCTCGGGAGAGTGAATCCTGGGGCTGTGCTGAGTGGCGGGAGAGTTAAGGGAGAGTTTGGGGAGAGTGAATCCTGTAGCTGTGCTGAGTGAGGGGAGAGTTTGCTTGGGGAGAGTTAAGGGAGAGTGAATCCTGTAGCTGTGCTGAGTGACGGGAGAGTTTGCTGGGGAGAGTTTGGGGAGAGTGAATCCTGGGGCTGTGCTGAGTGACGGGAGAGTTCGGGGAGAGTTTGGGGAGAGTGAATCCTGTAGCTGTGCTGAGTGACGGGAGAGTTCGGGGAGAGTTTGGGGAGAGTGAATCCTGGGGCTGTGCTGAGTGACGGGAGAGTTCGGGGAGAGTTTGGGGAGAGTGAATCCTGTAGCTGTGCTGAGTGACGGGAGAGTTTTCTTGGGGAGAGTTTGGGGAGAGTGAATCCTGTAGCTGTGCTGAGTGACGGGAGAGTTTTGCTGGGGAGAGTTTGGGGAGAGTGAATCCTGGGGCTGTGCTGAGTGACGGGAGAGTTTGCTGGGGAGAGTTCGGGGAGAGTGAATCCTGTAGCTGTGCTGAGTGACGGGAGAGTTTGCTGAGGAGAGTTTGGGGAGAGTGAATCCTGGGGCTGTGCTGAGTGACGGGAGCGTTTGCTGAGGAGAGTTTGGGGAGAGTGAATCCTGTAGCTGTGCTGAGTGACGGGAGAGTTTGCTGGGGAGAGTTAAGGGAGAGTGAATCCTGGGGCTGTGCTGAGTGACGGGAGAGTTTGCTGGGGGAGAGTTTGGGGAGAGTTTGGGGAGAGTGAATCCTGGGGCTGTGCTGAGTGACGGGAGCGTTTGCTGAGGAGAGTTTGGGGAGAGTGAATCCTGTAGCTGTGCTGAGTGACGGGAGAGTTTGCTGGGGAGAGTTAAGGGAGAGTGAATCCTGTAGCTGTGCTGAGTGACGGGAGAGTTTGCTGGGGGAGAGTTTGGGGAGAGTTTGGGGAGAGTGAATCCTGGGGCTGTGCTGAGTGACGGGAGAGTTTGCTTGGGGAGAGTTTGCTGAGGAGAGTTTGGGGAGAGTGAATCCTGGGGCTGTGCTGAGTGACGGGAGAGTTTGCTGGGGAGAGTTCGGGGAGAGTGAATCCTGGCGCTGTGCTGAGTGAGGGGAGAGTTTGCTTGGGGAGAGTTAAGAGAGAGTGAATCCTGTAGCTGTGCTGAGTGACGGGAGAGTTAAGGGAGAGTGAGAGAGGGAGTGGGGCAGGAAGAGAGAGGGAGTGGAGCAGGAACTCGACCTTCGTCCCCAGCGAGGAGCAAACCGCGGCGTGGAGCCACTGGAACTCGGAGCGGAGTGAGCGCGGCTCCTCTGCCGCGCTCACTCCTCTGCCGCGCTCACTCCACGCGCTCCACCCCCCCACCCCCGTGTCGAGGGATATCGCTGGCAGGCTCAGCACACAGTGCCGCATGAAGCTAGCGCGGGGGCCTGTAGCGTATGGTATAAAGGGGCCCTATATTTTTATTTTTAAAAATACACCTGTTTAACTCGCATAGTTAAGTAATTGAATGTTTTCATTTGCTATACGGCCAGATAACACGACAAATCGCTAACCTGAAACACCCAGTCGTTCGTAAAAGTTGAAGGCGGTATAGTACTATAGTAATAGAGCAAGTGCAGAATCACTGAACCCGAATTGATTTTCTTGAAAGCATTTGGCTCGGGGCCCTTGAAAGTGCGAGGCTCGTCACGTATGCGAATTGGTGAGGTGGCCCGGGACCGCTTCAGATATCACTCGCCACTGATGTTAGCCGTGTCCGGGATTCAAACTCAGATCGTCAGGGTCGTGGTGCAATGACCTAATCACTGCGCCACCGCTCCACCCACTTGTATACTAAAATTTCTACCTACCTAGTGGTGTATTGCATCTACCTTCCTATAGGGCCGTCCATAAATGACGTCACGCACCTCGGAGAGGATCAGACATTTGTGACGATGTGTGACAAGGGGGGAGGGGGGGGAGAAATGTGACGTCACATCAAAATGCGCAACTTTAAATAAATATAGACAACACCTTCTACTTAATTAAATATACTTTCTAATAAATATTTTCCTCCTACAACATCAGAGTGCAGCGCCACATTAAATACGCACTACAATGACAATAGTTTAAAGCGATTTGAAGCATGTTTTTTTGGGGGGGGGGCAGAGCTTTGTGACGTCATATTTGAAGGGGGGTCTGACTTTTTGTGACGCCGTGTGACGAGGGGGGCGTCAAAAATCGTCCAAAATCGCGTGACGTCATTTATGGACGGCCTGTATATATAGTATCCTTCTACATACCTAACCACCTGTCTGTCTTTGTGCCCACGCGACCGTCTTTCAGCCAGGTGTGCTGAGGGGGCAGCAGGAGACCTGGAGAATAGGGGGCAGCAGGAGACATGGGGTGTAGGGGGCAGCAGGAGTCCTGGGGAGTAGGGGGCAGCAGGAGACCTGGGGAGTAGGGGGCAGCAGGAGTTCTAGGGAGTAGGGGGCAGCAGGAGGCCTTGGGAGTAGGGGGCAGCAGGAGACCTGGGGAGTAGGGGGCAGCAGGAGACATGGGGAGTAGGGGGCAGCAGGAGACCTGGGGAGTAGGGGGCAGCAGGAGACATGGGGAGTAGGGGGCAGCAGGAGACCTGGGGTGTAGGGGGCAGCAGGAGGCCTGGGGAGTAGGGGACAGCAGGGGACATGGGGTGTAGGGGGCAGCAGGAGACCTGGGGAATAGGGGGCAGCAGGAGACATGGGGGGCACCGGTGTTACCTTGGGTGTCAGCAGTTGAGTCTGGGCAGTCTCCAGCCAAGATGCCATAGCGCCACCTGCAGGCCAAATCAAGGAGCAACTCGTTTAACAAACCTCCTAAGCAGAACTCTTTCCACATTTTGTTTACCCATCCCATCAGCCACACTGACTTCTGTGAGTGCACACTTTCAGCAGCATTGGTTCAACACAAGCGAAAGTCTGGCGCGGTTTCGACACTCTCATCAGCAGATGTCCTATTGGAATAAATTATTTCAAAAAGCTTCATAGCTCATCGTATTCCTCCAGTCTAAATAATGATTGTGATTCTGAGTGAGCTTGCCTTGAACCAATACTGGTGAACTTTCAGATGTTGTTTCAGGCAAGGGCTCGGTTTAGACATTCGGTGTCTCATCAGCAGGGTCAGCCTTGCTTGAACCAATGCTGGTGAACTTTCAGATGTTGTTTCAGGCAAGGGCTCGGTTTCGACATTCGGTGTCTCATCAGCAGAGTCAGCCTTGCTGGAACCAATGCTGGTGACCTTTCAGATGTTGTTGTAGGCAATATATGGGTCCTAGTCCGACACAAAACTCAGATACAATACTCAACACAGAATCACCACTCTCGTCTCTGCGGAGAAGATAATTAAGACAATATTAAGCAGACAATTCACCTCTAAAAGTGCCACAGGTATAACTAACTGCTCGACGCGAACTAGACGTGCCCTGATACTTGTATTGTCTTTGTAGCCTTCGTCTTTTGGCGTTCTCTGGCCTAACACCGCTGGTGAGACAAGGCCATAAAGATGTCTCTCTTCGGTGTAGGCCAATCAGTTTTAGAAGACAATGCATACAAATGTAGTGGCATAACGCTGGCTGCTGGCAGAACAGGGCATCGGCGGCGTACGGCAGCTCTGACGTCAGCAGGCCACGTGATAGACACGAGAAGGGGATCTAGGGGAAAGGTCACGGAAGGGGCACACCAAGAACCCGCTGGTAGGTTCCAGAAAGGGGGCGTGACCGGGGGCGGGGCGAGGCCACGCTGGGAGTATATAAGGGGGGGCCCCCGTGGGGGCCTCGAGGCTGTCGTTGGAGTGGGATCCCCGTCGTGCTGCCCAAGTCCATCGTCGCCATTATTATTCTTGTTGTCTTCTCCGTCTCTACCACCTCGGGGCACCGCTAGTCAGGCAGCCCACCAGCTGTCCTGGCTGAGTAGCGTCGCGGATAACGGGACGGACTAAATATTAAGTGTGTTGATCCCGATGGTGCTCGTGAATAAAGAAGTGCCTCCAAGTCTTATCGACTCCGAGTTAGTCACTACACATATACTATCAGAGCATGTTTGTAGGTTTTGTCACAAGTACTGTGTGTGGTTAATGCAGTACTGTACTTGATTCCCTGCAAAAGGTTTCTATTTGGTGTTTGAACGTCTTAACACAACTCCGGTGTTGTTGCGAGAAAGGATAAAACCTATTCTTGTTTTTCATCATTTTTTAACACTGGCAAAAAAGGTCCCATAGATAATTCACCTCTTTCTGTCAAAACATTGATGTGGAGGCACAGACATCCAGTCATACAGACATACAATACAATCATAGAGACATCGTCATACAGACATGCAATCATAGAGACATCGTCATACAGACATACAGACTTACAGTCGATCATCGATTAAACGGCGGTTTCAAGGGAGCCGGATTTTTAAAAACGCCGGATAATCATGACTCATCATTCCCATCATTATTTAAAATTCCTTGAAGACGTTTCTCACCTGAAGACGGACACTTGTGTTGCGACCGAA